GTAGTCTTCAGCCCCAGCTGAGTCATGCAGGAGATGGAGGAGACTAAGCTGGGGATAAAACTGAAAGGCTTTGGTGAACCTCTGATGTTACTCCTAAACAACACAAAAACAGTTCATGCAGCTTCAAAACTCTGCCGTGAGCCACTAATAAAAAGCGGACGCTAACGATTACACTTGCCAGCTAATAAACCAGCTGATGAAATGAGTTCAGTCTCAGATTCTGGGTCAGTTTTGACTGAATTCAGCCACTATGAGGCAATGTTTTGTTCAAACCTGCTACAGCCCTCAAAGAGTAGAAAACATTATTTGCATCTATACATGTCATGTTTGTTGAAAATTGACACGTCTAGTTTTGAAATAAACATATCAGCACATATCAGACATTTGAACTTAAAGCTTATAGGGGCACACCATACACTGGTGCATCAGTAGCTGAGTCTACGTCTAACACCTGTGTGTTTGTTCAACGTCACATCAGCTGTTTCCTCCCATTTGTCTGTCCTCACTGACTGCCCTCAAATGTCCCAGCCTGGCAATATCAACACAAACACACATACTGTGCATGCTCACAGGTTCTGGTTTCTTAGTGTCTGTGCTGTGTCTCATGCTCTCATTATCCCTGCTTCTATCTATTGTTGTGCCCTCTCACTGTAGCGCTCTGCAACAATCCTGTTTGTTAAAAGCACTCTATAAATAAACTCAGCTGGACTCGATTTGGTTCCTGCAGCTACTACGTCTCGCTGGCGTCTCTTCTTAGCTGGATTCCCTCAAAACTAGAAGCATTAGAGGCATTAGGTTTTTATGTGCATAGGTAATCATGTGATTTAAATTTGGTTTAGTTGAGAGTAAACTGACCATTAGTTTCAATTTAGCAGGAAAGTGTGTGCGTGGCTGGGCTCAAGAACAACAGAGCCAGTGTTCAGAGAGCAGCAGAGCCAGACAGCCTCACTGCACCGCTCCGCCATGGAAACACGAACTCTGAAGTGTGTTTAGTAAATTTAGCTCCCAGCACTAAAGTGTTCCTTTCATAATGGAGAATATCTCTGTCATACAGTTAGACCTGACAGGGTTCGTTAGCGTGAGGAGCTCTCCACAGCAAACAGCTCCCAGTGTAAGGAAGTAACACAAGGTGGTGCAGCTCAGGTCTGGGTGTGATATGAATTAAACATGTGGAATGTGTGGTGGGGGGAAAAGAGATGGTCTGTCCTGCAGTTGGAGGGTGGCCTCGCTACAGAGTGAGGCAAGAGGGACCTCTACTGGCCGACTCGGAGAACTGTCTGATTGAATGGAGCCACAAGAAGCCAAAAAATGGGCTTGTAAGCATTTCTAACAAACATTAAGTAAAGCTACTCGGTTATAAAGATGTTAATGGTTTTTAATGTGTTTCAGGTTACTTCAAAACAAAAGATTTTTATAACTGGAAACCAGGATTTAGCTAAATATCCCTTCAGAACTTTCATCAAATCATCACATCAGATTGTTCAGTTCATTTGGTCCGCTGGTTCTGCTACAACCAATGTTCACACTGACTTTCGTTTCATCAGCTGTTATCTGACATCATCAGAGCTACATGGATTGTGAAATCAGTTTAAGTACTGACTTCCTGTAATGTTGAAGAAATGGCATAAAAACCACATAGTCTGTGCAGTTCTGCACAAAGTTCTGTTACCAATTATCAGTAATGCGCTGACTCATTTCTTTACAGTAAAAAACACACTAAATGTCCCTGATCACGGACTTAAAGGTGAGTTTTCACTAAAACCAGTCAGCCTGAATACTGACACACCTTCTAGTCAAAGTGTATCTTTAAGGCACAAGTGAACTGAAATCAGGTTAAAAGTTATTTGGTGAAATTAGGAAACATTTTAAAAAATAATAATAATAATGAAATCATGCCACAAAACAAAACATTTCCCATAAGTCTCTGTTTCCTATTGTACCCATCCAGCCTTGTCCCTGGTGTGTTCACTTAAGCAGGACGGTTAACCTGACCGGCTCTAGGCTACCTCCACGGTATTGTCCCTGGCTTTGCTTTAAAGCCTCTGTGTGGGTCATTATGGGGACTACATGCTGTATCTTGTAATTTTCCAAACAGTGAAGTCGATCAAGATCTTCCATTAATTATAAGACGGGCAGTTTTTTTTTAAATTATTGCTCTTTATATGAAGAAGAAAACACGGTTCATAATAGGAAATTGTTTTACTGTTGTCATATTTATCTCACCACAAAACACTGGCAGCAGGGACGTCTTTTCACAATTGCGTAGGAGAGATTGTCTAGAATCTGGCAATATCCAAATGATATTGATGATAGTGAGATACTGTACCATCATCACTTACACATACAGTAGCCTCTTTACAAAGGTGACAAACCAGTCAAATGTTTGCCTCCCACTCTCGCCCCATCCCCAAACAAGGGGGCCCTGGTGGACACCGAGTCCAGAATCACCACTGGCTTCACCTGCACTTATCTTTTTACCACAACTTTTAAAGAATTGCAATGAAAAGCAAATCCATTATTGTGCGTTTACTTTTCATACGAAGTGGGATGCATGTAATGTCAACCCTGCGCTTGAGATCATTTCAAAACCAGATCACCTCTTGGTGCAGAGGTAACCAATGACCAGAGTGACTTCTTGTGTGTATTTTAATGTGCAGCAGGCCTATGCTATGAAACTATGGTGTGTTTGGGACCGATGCTGCAGGAGTGTGAAAATGGATGAAGAGATTAGTGAAGATATTACTTGGCAGAACTTTGACTTGTCTTCATACTGTTATTACTTTGGGGTGTACAAATCTGTCCCAAGCATACGTGTAAGCCTCGGGTTTCGCTCTTTCTAGTTATGTGACATTAATGTGGCCATAGCACACCTGAGGAACCATTCAGAAGTTGGCCCAGAACGGACAGGAGTGGCCATCCTGTGTTGCTGCCCTACATGCCTGATGGCACTCATGGACATGAGCTGATATGAACATGGAATGATTGCACTGCACAGATATTTACCTGTGTAGACATTCACATCCCTTCACATGAGTTGAGGGTGTGTAGATGGACAAGCAGCTGTGTGCAGGTTGTTACTGTAACCACACTGGATCTAAATATAAGTTTATGTTTCCTCACAAGCAGCTAGAATTGTTGGAAAAGTCAAGTTGTGCAGTTTCATTTGAAATGCAGCACACTTTGCTGCAACGAATCGTTCAAAAGCAATTCAATTAAGAAGAAGGAAAGTGAATTTGAATGCAAAGTGCTTCTGCTGGATTTTAAGGGTTAAACGCTCTCCGTGAATTCACCGTGAAGAACAATGCCCCCCTAGTTTCCTCCATCCACATATTCTTCTGGTGAACGGAGTGTGCAGTCCTGAACAGAGGTCAGTGGAGGCTGTAGCTGTTTCAGAACAAGTGCTTGCATCCTGATTTCACAGCACACGAGACACAGTATGAACCAATAAAGCGTCCTGATTTCTTGTCTAATCACTGGAGAGAACTCGTATAGCTAAACCCAGTGAGCTGAAGCAGCTGTGGAATCACACACTGCAGCTTCTGATTACTAAGCTTCCTCTGTTGCCCAAAACATCTCATGTTCAGAAGCAGCAGTTAATAAGAAGCATCACATTCAGTAGCATGTGTCTGTCAAGAATGTT